TCCAGAAATGTAATACATCTCATCCAGTGCACTAAATGCCCTGATGGAAAATATGTAGGAGAAACCAAACAACAATCACCTGTCAGAATGAATGCACACCAAAAATCTATCAGAGACAGAAATACCTAATAACCTGTGGGTGCACATTTCTCACAAGATAAACACTTTCTCTCCAATCTCTTAGTTCTAATCCTCAAAGAGAATTTACAAAACACCTTTTATAGACAAGCCTATGAACTTCACTTCATCAACTTACTGAATACAAAAAATCATGGACTAAATATAGACATTGGATTTATGGCACATTATAACCTGCCTACCTTCTGATACCCCAGGTAACCTCTCTACTATTTACCAGCTACATTTTATCACCAGGTGACCATTTTCCTTTTTATGTACCCCCTACCTGTTTCTCACCTATTGTCTCTCACTCCTGACCCTCACTGCCACATATTTGCATTTTCACTGACCTACATTTTTGCATACTGGCATCTATCTGATTCAGGGAGAACACAAAATAATTGCAGATGCTCCCTCTGCCTGAAGAAAGGTGTTTATACCCAAACATTTGGAAAGAAGAATTTTTCCAACTATTTTAGTTGATCTAATACAAGATATCAGATTTATCCAAAGCACCTTGTCTGCCTGTGTCTTTAGACCAACGCGGCTACAACCAACACTGCAGATGTAGTCTAACTTAGCTTGGGTCTGGCAAGACCAATCAAATTGAACTTCTGTACAATTCCCAGTGCAGCACCAGGGCTGGGAAAGCCCAGATACTGGCCCTAGCCCTGGAGCTGCACTTTTTCTACCCCCTCCCTTGCACAAAGCCATTTTTAGCCCTTCAGCCCCTCCCTCACCCCCAGATGGACAACCGCTTCCATGGACCAGTGAGCCCCTCCCGGTCTACTAAACCCCCATCCCACAAGCTGCTCCCAGTGCTGGGTTTATCAGTGTTTGCTGATTCTGGGAGCTGAGGAAGTAAGTCATGGTGAGGGAGGGGAGGGTTGGGTGGGATCAGGAGTATTGGTTTGCTGGGGAGAGTTATTTTTCTTGGGGTGGAGGGGTTGTGGGCTAAAAATAGCCTGTCATCCCAGGAGATGGGGAGAGAGGCCTTCCATGGACCCCACAAGCCCCTGATCCTGCCAAACCCTCCTGGACCCCATCAAACCCCTCAAATCCCCCCTTCACTAACCCCCTGTGAATTAGTTGTTGTCTTATCCATGTCTTTGGGTCCAAAGTGCAGCCCACCTCCTCACATTCACCCACCACACCTTGATGGTATGAATCATTCTTTCTTAGGGACTATCCCAATAAACAGTCTTACCCTGAATTGAAGTACAAATCTTAGTGCCAAGGACCACCATTCTCTATATTAGCTTCCTTCTGTCGACTTAGTGGAGTCTCCTCACCCCATGTCCTTCAGCCCATCGTGGTTCTCTAATAGTTTTCCATCCTCAAACACTCAGCTCAGTGATTCCAACTGCCTCACTGTTCCTATTCCTGTGCACTTCACTGAGACATGAAATGCCTGATATATGTGTGCTGCATCCAGAAATGGATGTCTCTCCCCACAGATAAAAAACGTTCCTTGCCACCCTCAAGACCCTCTACCAGCACTGACAGGAAGGACCTCCCTGCAGCTTGCTCACAGTAAGCCTCCAAGCTGGGCTAAGCCCCCATTCAAGTTTCAGAATTGGGCACAGTGCACGTGGCTATCGCCATCATCAGGCATGTAACAGGGACTGAGAAATGGCTCCTTGTTACACCCCTCTATCCTGACTTATATATAGCTAGTCAATATTGCATTTTTTATGTAATCTGACCTCCCTCTAACTTCCCCAAATGTCTGTACCCAGCCTAAGTGAGAGGCTCGACATTCCACTTGAGAGTCAAAGGAATGGGATTCCAGTTGTGCTCAACCTGTCCAACCTTTCAGGCCACATGAGTGGCACAAAATTGGTCCACAAGCTGCTTCCTACATATTGGCTTGCAGCTCTGCAAGATGTAGCAATAAGCACTGCCATTCCTGACCACTGATCTGGCCCAAGGGGCATAGGTTGAGCACCACTGGATGAGACAAATTCCTCAGAATCCTAATACTGATGATGTGAAAGTTAAAGACATAAAGCAATTAACTTATTCTCCCATCCTACAATGTAATGTACTTAATTTCTAATCCGTTTCAGTCCCTTGGACAGATTGTACCTGACCTTAATGCAGGAATTAAAATAGAGAAGACTCCATAGGTGCTTCCTGCTCTTTAAACAGCTGCAACCTTGTATTTAATATTAAGTTAAGAAAGTTTAGAGCTCATTTATACCCCAGTCACTGCATTATTTTTCATCTTGTGGTACAAAAAGCTGATAATATCTGCTTTGCTCAGATATGTTTTATTACTCATTTAAGGTTTTGAATATAGTATACTGGCAGTAACATTAATGTGAACCTGAGTTTCTGCAGTGATATTGAGATGCTGTTTTTGGAAAAATAATATCTTGGCCTCATCTCAGAATTTCTCCATTAGCAATAGACCATTTCTGGAGCGCACACACTCACACTCTGTAAATGTTCTCACTTAAACAGGGCATTACAACTGTAATATATAATACTGGCATAGAAGCCATAAAAGTACAGAACTTCAGTGCTGTTACAAGTATATGTTGTAAATAGGAAGGAAAAACTGAGCCAAAACCATTTGATATCTGTGCAATGTATTCCAGATATACCTTGATAAAGATTAGCTTAAATAGAATAAAAATCCCAGTAGTTTCCAAACAGTGGGAGCTGTTTCTGATTTGCAGTTTTGCAGATGGTTGTAAACTAGCATAGCTGTGGAGGGAGTTCCTGTGCATTAATAGCTTAGGAGACATTTTGCATATTGTAGTTCATTATAAATTTATGGTAGCCTTGAAAAAAAAGGTCAGTGGAGTTCTGCAGAGGTTCACAAACATTTTTCTATAATGTTTTCATAAAAGAGTATATCATTCTAAATATTTTAAAAGGTATTAGGATACTGTTTTTACTTTAAGTTTATAATATATGGCATACCTGGATATAATGTAACTGCCATAGCATGGTGTTGGGCTCTTGTCAATAAAAACTCTCTCTGATAATATAAACTTGCTGTTTGTGTTGAAATAGCATCATACCTCATTCCTTGAATGTTTCTGTCAAAACTCAGACCAAGTTTTTTGGGCCCATGATTTACGTGATAGTCCTGCTTATGGCCAAATAAATACAGATATATTAAATCAGTTAGTAAATAACTACCTAAAATGAAATTCTCTCAATGTATTAAATGTATTAGAAAAGCCACCAGCTATTTTTAAATTTAAGTATCAGAACAACTATAAACTAAACTATAAACAAAAAATATAGAGCTGTTATTAAAGGAGCTAACTCTGTTCCTACTAGGAAAAAATACTAAAGTGTAGCATGTATATTTCTGAAGAAACTGGGTGTATCTTGGAAGTTCTCACATCTGTGACTCCCATTCAGCATTCTTCAGTTCTAAAGTCTCAAGATTGTTTAGATCTTTGGGGGAAAAGAAAAGGGTAGAAAAAAGTGCAAGTTGAACTGTTCATTGATTTCTTGAAAATGAACAAATTAATATGCTATTTTAGTGCTGATGTCATTGGATAAATATTTGTAATAGTGTCTCTAGCTTGATCAAGTGAGATCAGATAATAGTTGAAAAGCAAATTACAATAATAATAGGATATTGTTCGGTTGAAATTACCAGGATTTTTCCAATAGAACAGGTTTTTACTGGAAATTGATGATGACCATCTCTGCTCAATAAACAGACTGAGCTAAGGAGCACTTCACTGAGACATGAAATGCCTATTATATTTGTGCTGCATCCAGAAATGGATGTAATGTAATGGCCTTAGTGTGGTGTTGGGCTTTTACCAGTAAGTGCTCCCTCTGATGGTATTAACTTGTTTGTGTCAAAATCAAAATGTTTGATTGAAACATATCTCTTTGTAATGCATGTTTCTGTCAAAATGCAGCCTGAACTTGTAGGGACTGTGATTGCAGGGCAGTCCTATCTGTGGACATCCCTAGGTCCAGATGTTCTCCAGGCTTCCAGGCTCACATCTACAGGGAAGTCCAGGGAGCCCCAACTCTAACTGGGGCTTGACTCCCAGTTGAGAAGCTGGGAATCTCACAGCACTGAGTATCCCAGCTCCAGCCAGGACTCTCTCAGGACTTCCAGACTCCCTACTCCAGAAATGTTCACTAGGCTCATTGCCAAAGAACGGGAAGCAACGTGAGTCCTATTTCTATCTGTAGGGAACCCAAGCTTCTGCTGGTAAACCCTAACCCAAGACTCTTATCAGCCATAAGAAGTGGATAGGATTTGTAGATTCCCTATCCATAGTAATAAAAATGAGCAAAGGTGATGATTATCAGTTTTTCGTACCATAAGGTTGCTGGATTTCCAGATCCATTCAAGTTAGAAATGTTTTAACATTAAATAGTGACTATTCCTAAACTTTGAGAGAGAGAGTGTGTGTGTGTGTGTGTGTGTGTGTGTGTGTGTGTGTGTGTGTTCCCTTCTGCAAGAAATTTGAAAATCTACTTTTCCTTTCTATGGAACAAGAAAAATAATGACTATCAATTAACTGTTGCTGTTTCTATCTCATTCTTCTAAAGGATCCATTAAAGCCTAAGCAGTGGCTCAGAGTCATTGCAAAGCAAAAAAAGCATGCTGACTTTGTTTCATTTTGTAAAACATGATTCCAAATAATATAGTCTGAGACTGTGTGATTCCTTTAGATGCATTAAGGAATCAATTGTTGCAGAAGTAGCCAATCTGCATCCTAAAGTTAACTGTGCCAAAAGTTTCTTCTCTGCTGCTCTGTACTTGGGTGATAACACAACTTTTTGTTTTGTTTTGTTTTCTGAAAGATGTTTTGATCTGCCATCATTTAAAATTTAAATTTCATTTTTCAGCTTCATTTTCTAGTAATACTTTTTATGTTTCCTTTCAGATTAAAGAGTCAGCAAAAAGTGAGCTCAGGACTTGGGATCAAACAAAGTTCCTTATGTGTTGCCGGGGACTCCACTGAGACAATGAGTGAAGATGAGGGGGACCAGCATGCTTCATAGAACAGCCCTGCAGTGACAAGTATAACTCTAATGAAGAACAGAAGGAAGCTAATAATGTTAGAGGAAAAGGACAGCTCTGAAAAATGTCATTTTTGTACAAAGAAATCCTATATATATTATTCTACATATTCAAATTGTTACTAAGGCTTGATGGAAAAGTGCTTGTTTCAATATGTACCCAATCTGAATTTGAGTTTTCAGTTGTGGATTTTCCTTCTCAAGGGTCTTTATTGCTGTCACTTAAAGCAAAAATGTTGCTTGCTTGTGATAACTCCCTAGTTTATCATCCAGAACAGTTGACTTCAAAACCACATAAAGTGGAAGCCAGCTTGTTCCAATTAGCTGTGATCCAAGGGACAGAGCAATGGACTGAGATTCAAGAGACTCAGGGTCTCTTGTCTGCTGTGCTACTGAAATTGCATATAACCTTGGACCGGTCATTTTACATCAACTTGTCCCACTATGAAACAGAGATACACCGTGCCTTTGGAAACCATTTTGAGAGAGAGACAAAAAAAACCTTATAAAAGTTAAAAAATTATTATTTAAAACACTGCACTTTCCTCTCTTTCTCTTGCTCTTTCCCCTACCCCATGCTCACAAACCAGCATGTCTCAGCTTTATTATAAGGTCTGCCCCTTGCATTTCTTTCAATCTCTGTTTTATTAACTGCAATTGTAAAAATATTTACATTATGTTTCAGTAGCACCTGAAGTAACTCTATGCCTGTTAGCACTATCTCAAAATGGCAGTTTTTTTCTGAAGTCTGAAATACTATTTTCATTTAAAATAAATAATAATGTAAGACAAGCAGCTGTCTAGGGGTCATTAACAAGGAAAATATAGCTTCTCTGGTACAGATCATCTACACATGTAATTCAGGAGTTCGAAGCTCAGCATTAGGATGTGATATATTTTGTCCATATGAGCTGCAAACCCCCCAGAGGAATTCCTGATTTCCTAGTGAACGCAGCAATTTTTGCTACCCCCTTCAGGTTACAAGCATACTGGATGGTCTACCCACCCAGTGAGTAGTCTCTTGGGCCACTTCTTATTTCCTTTGCAGTGGCTTATAGTGATCCTCCTTGGTTGCAGGGACACCTGCACCACTCCCCAACTGCTGCCTTTAGTGAAATGGTCAAATAGCCTACTTCCCTTTCCTAGGTATACATCACTTCTATACACATCCTTCTTCTTTGGGGTACAGAAACACTCTGAGACAAATAATTTTAAACAGCATTTTATTTTAGAATTTATGGGAATTAGCACTCACAGGATGCTTGGGATAGTAATTTTGCATTTCTGTCCACTCTTTTTCCCCCCTCATAACTTTGTTCCTATCCTTGCAAAGCTGACTCTAGTCAGAATTCACAGTTTCTTAGAACTTTCTGAAAGTTGATCCTCAACAGAATATCCTGTTCCTCCTTATTTTTTAGTTTGCAAGCCACAGAAGGAAGGAAGGGAACCATGTCAGGTAAAATCATTATTTCCTTATTATGCACAATGATATATTGCATTAGATAATGATTGTGTTATAAATAAAACTGTTTTATAATGTTAAATATTTTGTCAGTGTGAATTAGCTTCAAAGCTATTCCACATAGTTCCATTTTTTCTATGCTTAATGGTCTCCCTAGTGCTGTTTTGAGGCAGTGTAGATATTTCAGGTCTCCTTAAAAAGCCAGCAGCTGCTCACTCAGCATTTTCATATCTGTCTAAGTGAATTCATCACTCCCCAATGTATAATTTAGTCATATTGAAAATGTCAGTGTTCATGGTGTAAATGAAGTCTATGATTATTGATTTTCAAACACTTTAAAAGTGCATCTCTACAATTGCATTAAAGTACTTAGAAATACAGTAAAGTCATACAGTATGCTTGGTGATAACATGTGGTATTCCTTACACTTTTGAAAGTATGTTTTCCCTGAACAGGCATAAAATAAAGAGTTCTTTTTACAGTTAGAGTCCTGGAGATCTGAGAGCTGGGCAAAATTCTTAGTTTTAGAATCAAAGTTAATTAAGTTATTGTAGCATCATATTAAAATATGAAACCAAAGCAACTGACAGTGTTCCTGAAGAGCCAAGGCTCTGTGTTTTTCCCCAATAGGTAAGAGGTACAACACAAAGAAACAAGAGTTAATTAATCTTCTCAGTCTTGAAAAACACTTGATTTTGTGATAATAACTAGCATAGTATTAATGGGCACATATAAAAAAGTCAACATTCCTTCTAAAACTCAATCTACCAATTTACTTAGTTTTAATCTATGCTTCTGATGTTTGCCACTTACCACATATGTTACAAGTAGTATTCAAAGTGATGCATCACAGTGGGACAGTCTAGTTGTAGAAAGTAAAATTCTTAAATAATTCTCAATATTAGAATAGGTAAATACCTCACAGTGCAAGCACATCTAGCATCTTGCCCTGCATATGGAATATTCATGAGAAAATTATAATTTCTTCAGATGTAGCCACTGTTCATATCACTTCAAAAAGCATTGAAAAAATATAGTGGAAGTCATATTCATCTTCCAAATGCCAAATAATATTGGCTTGAAAATTATGTGGCTTGATTGGAATGGGTTGGGTAGATCACATGCTGGGTTTTTTTTTATCCTGCCTGAATAAGTACTACTTAGCTACTTCCATGAAGTGCAGTCATACATACAAATATAAAATCTTATTTCAGCAATTTTGTATATACATAAGACAAGTTTGAATTCTTTTTTTGTAAAAGATTATTCCAGTAAGTCAGTTGCCCAAGTGTGGGCCACAAGAGAACAGAATCATGGTGAATTGAATTTAAATGTTCGGAAAATAGCTTTATATATATGGCCTTTGTAATCATGTGAAGGTGTGATGTTCTTTACTTATGCAGCCACAATAATGCTTCCACTGATGATCCACAAGTACACGTGTAGCAGCAAGGAATGTTTGAAGCCATCACTGCCATACATGATAACTATGTGGTCTATACATGCCCCAAGTCTAAGTTTAGTGCTCTAATAACTTAACTTAAATTCCTTTATCTCATTAAAGAATTGGCAGTACATGCTTTGCTTTACTAAATGCAACATTTTGGAACGTGAGTCTTCCATGAAACCATTACACCAAAAGACCTATAAATGATTGTTTCTGCAGCAGCTTTTCTACACTGAACAGGTGAAAAGCATCATTTTTTTTTTCTATATGAATCAGTCATATAAATTTATTTTTATACACAATAACTGGAAATCTTACAAGTCATTTCCACAACTGATTCTGTTCTTATAGAGACTTAATCTTAAGGATCTACTCTGGTGATATGGATATTATTACATGAATGTACAGAGCTCTGAAATGTCAGAAAAGTAAATAACATGACATTTTGGATTAGTTATTAAAAGAGTTTGAATGAAACTTTGCTGTCCCTCCAGTCCCAAATAAAAAGCAAGAATAGAGGTAAATATCTTCTGATTAAATTTGCCCTGGTTTATATATGTTTTGCTTTCTTTGAAATATCCTCCTAGCTTTACCTGCATTGATTAAATAAACAATGCTCTGAAATAAATACCAAAATGATTGAACAAAATAAGGAGCTTATCCCATTTTGCACCTGATGGAAAAATGGAGTATATGGATAAAATTGGTTATCCAAGAGCAGCACAAAATTTGCAGCCCCAAAAGAAGCAATGAATATTGTGTCTTTAAGCAAACTTTGTGCCCTTCCCATCTTAAACTCCACATCCTCTTTGAAGGGGTCTTTTAAGCTAGGGACAGACATTCAAAAAACCTGAGCCTAAATTGATTTGGCCTTTTCAGGTTAGTCTAACCTGGCCAGGTTGAACTGGTTTGTAACTGGACAGACATTCTCTCTGGACCGAGGAAATTCAGGCACATGCCTGCAGTGGCTCAGGCTAGAAGCCAGGGTGCACTAGAAAAGCCCTCTCTTTCCATATATCGTGCTGAGGTGAGGAGTGGCATGGCCAGGCCCTGGCAGGATGTTCTGATTTAGGGAGGTCTGCCTGCACCATCCAAGGCTTTTCCCCGCTCGCTGCTCAAGGGGCAAGAGTGTTGCCAGACCCCAGCTCCCAGCTAACACTCTGAGATGGGGGTGGGGGCAGTGCAGTGCATGCATTTGTTGATGATATGGAGCTTTTCAATCTCCCTCCCTGCTTCTTTATACTGTCTACAGCAAACTGACAGGCAAGCAAGCCAGCAGGGGGCTGATAAATAGTGTTTACCACCCCATCAGCAAAACAATGGCCTCTCTCCATTAGTTCAAACTCGTCTTAATCAGCTTACAAGCTGACCTGTTGATTAGATTCAAAAAGCCAAAAGCAATTACTGTTCTGTCTGCCTGTCCCAGTGAAATTGGAGACACATATACAGATCCCTCTCAGCATTAGCTAGCATACCACATGCCTAGCATCTGTAGGGCTGGGATCTCTGCTGTGGGAGATGGGAGGGAGGGGAAGATTCCTGCTTGAGCAATGAGCAGTGGTGGGGGTGGAGGGGGTAGGGCAGGGGAAAGCCAGGCAGACCCTGCTGTGCCTGCAGTCTCTGCCAGAGCTCCAGTCAGGGAGCAGAGGGGAGGGGCCAGCTCTGTTGTGGAGCAGAGAGCCCTGCCCAGCCCAGAAAGCATGCTGGGATGTTGGGGGAGCCTAGTTTGTCTTAAACCAGCAAGGGGTCTGGGACAGACATTGCATAAACTGGTTTGACATAAATCAGTTATGTCTGATGCTACATTCAACTAGGTTTATCTTAAACCAGTTTCAGCCATTTTCAAACTGGTTTATGTGCACTGAACATATGTTCTATTACAGGATTAAACCAGTTTCTGATCACTTAAACAATTTAATGCGTAATGTTTGTCCCTAGCCCTAAAGACTGTTTTGTAGCTATTCTTCCCACTTCCTGGAAAAAGAAAAATGCTTGTCTATACTGGATCATAAAATCCATCAATGGGTGTTGCTAAACATATGTTTTAAGGCCCCTTTACAACATTCCAATCCTTTTACCTAGTATAAAGCTGCTGGGGTACAAGATCGGAATCTTTAATCAATCCCTGAAGCAGGAAAGGAACCATTTGCACAATCAAAAGTAAAAATCTAAGATTCAAATGCTGTTTCTTTTAATTAACATTCTTAGTTATGTTGAGCAAACACAAGCATGTTAGAACACAAATGTAATTATGTTGACTGTTTTAATCACAAACAGAATATTTTCAAAGTGATGCCATTTCAGGAACTAATTAATCATAATCATACAAGGACTCTAAGAATATTAGTTTCATTGCATATCATGGTTCTTAGGTTATTTTCATGGGTACATCTGGAATTTTGAAAAGGGGGAGGTTCATATGGTGTGGCATATCATCTCATATAACACAACACATACTCTTCTTTTAAAGAGAAACTATATGCTTATTATTATGCTAGGGGGACTATCATTATGTTATTTAGTTTATATCAAAGCAAAAATAAATATAATCATTGGAATGTGCACTAATTTACTAGAGTGTATATATAAAGTTTTAAAAACACAATGAATTAGGCAAAAAAAATAGTCAAAGGATATGGTATTGTTAGTCCTATAGTCATTATGGTTAAATGCAAATTCAGATTCATAAAACAAAATCTAGCCTTCTGAGTGTCTTGATAGTGGCTCCAATACTTCACTGTCAGTTATTTTTACACCTGAGTTAATATTATCACACCTGAGTTAAGATTTTTAACTGAAGTTAAAGTAGTCTACAGGGCTGTAAAATAAAAAATAAACATTACCAGGAATGGCTAAGAGACAGCAAAATTACAGAAGAAAGAACAGCTTGAACAGTGGAATATAAAAACCATTAAAAGGGAGAGAGGGTCATGAAGACCTGTGGAGCGGAAAGAGATTAGCAGGATTCTGAGGGGTGATAATGAGCCATGAAGTCAATGGACTTGGTGCTGTCTGAATAGAAATGCCACTGCCCCTCCAAGGAAGTAGGTTTTAAAGTTTAGGTAGATCAGGTATTAAACTGGGGGGAAGGCAGGTCAACTACACCACTACATCCCTATAGATCCATCTCTTCAAGGCGGGAAATACCTAGAGGAAAAGGACAAAATACCCTGTGCCATTTTTATATAGATTTTGATTTCTATGTAAGAGTACAGAAGAGGGAAGTATTCTAAATACTGAATTAGTGATTATATCAGAAGACATCATTGGTTTTGCTGAACTCATTAAGCTAGCACATTGCCTATGGTACACGTATAGTGCAGTCTATTTCTGTTAATGAAAGTGCAACACTTTTCCAGTCAGATAATCAATATGAAAATAAATGCTTTCAACATCCAGCTTTCTATACTGTCACATTATACATGCCTATACTTCATTGGTAACTAATTGGTAGAACTTTTAGTTAAAGGTATGATTTTAGAGCAGTTTGGAACCACATATTTTATGCCTTCAGACTATAGCAACTGAGTTCAGTTGCTGTGGGCACAGGCTAGAGCCCACAGAAGCCAATCAAAAGACTCTAAAACAAACAGTATAAAGTACTATAAGCCATTTATGCATAATAAGAATGTATATGAAAAAGTTGGAATTAAAGACTGTCTAGAATAAGTGCTTTTCAGAGTCTGCACTTTAAAAGAGAAAATCCCAAATGTATTTTATAGACAGACAGGAGAGTAATAGGAATAATCATATTACATCATATCTAGTCTACTGCATTGATGTAAACCAGGCTTTTCTGTCTGCT